GAGCAGTGTTTAGGGCTAGTTTCCACCTCTGTGCCTGGTGGCTGTTCATACTGAGGGCTCCCGCAAATGCTCCCCACTCAACGCCCTGACGCTAGATCATGAATCAAGTCTATTCAGATTCCCAGTAATTACAGCTAGTGCAGAGAGCCTACAGCCCAGCAGCATCTTTGTAGGAGCTTAACAAGTTCCCCAAAGTGAGCTCAGGGATGCTCAAGGAGTCATTTAGCCAAGCCGGAACACAAAAGCACACTCAGCATCTGGAAATAAGCTGTCTGCTCCCTCTGCTAGAAAGTGCCTGGGATCCGAAAGCTCCCCTCCTGCCACCACATGCACTATAGGCAGGAACTGACTGCACAGTGCAGGCCAGGTCTGCTCTCTGTGTGTGGCCTGCCACTTATAAACAGGAGAGGGCTGTGGCCATGGCCTCTGCTTTATACCCACCTCCTTGCAGACCTTACACCCAGGAGAAAACCAAAATCCCCAGAGTTCAAGTAACTTGTCCAAGGTCTCATGGTTTGTTTGGGCTCTAGAGCTCCAATTCCTTTCTATTTCAGTCCTCTGCATGCCGATGCAGGGGACACGGGTTCAAGCCCTGGTCCGGGAAGATCCCACATGCCGCGGAGCGACTAATCCCGTGAGCCACAACTATTGAGACTGTGTGCCACAACTACTGAAGCCCACGCGCCTACAGCCCATGCTCCTCTACAAGAGAAGCCACCGCAACGAGAAGCCTGCGCACCACAATGAAAGAGTAGCCCCTGCTCGTCACAACTAGAGAAAGCCTGTGCACAGCAACAAAGACCCAATGCAGCCAAAAATAAATAAATAAATGTATAAAAAGAAAAGTTTCTGCCATTCCCAATTTTCCCTGTGAGCTGTTGTAAATGAATAGTGCCTTTTTTTAATTGAAGTATAGTTGATTTCCAGTGTAGTGCCAATCTCTGCTGTGCAGCACAGTGACTCAGTTATACACGTATAGACATTCTTTTTTTATATTCTTTCCCATTATAGTTTATCACAGGATACTGAATATAGTTGCCCCATGCTATACATTAGGACCTTGTTGTTAGTGCCTTTTAAAGTGGATTACACTTTACTATATTGGGCCAAAAAGTTGGGCTGTTCTTGGAAGAAATACAGATCCACCACTAACAGAGTGGAAGAGGAGCCTATGAAGGACGTTGGGACACATTTGGCTCTACCCAGAGAGGTTACATGACTCCCCTCACCTCACACTTGGAGAGCCCGAGCCCAGAGCACCTCACTCTACTCAGGGTTCACTCTGCTGCACCAACCGCTGGCCCGCAAAGACGAAGCTAGTCACAACCACTCTGATGGCAGCGGACACCTCTCTGACATGAGGTCAAGCCTGGCTTGAGGTCAGTTGTGCGGAAATGTTTTGCCACAGTCATTTGTTGTGTTTGTACTATGTACCAGGACCCTGGTGATCAAGAGTGGACTTCAGCAGGGCTTCCCTGGTGGCGCAGTGGTTGAGGGTCCGCCTGCCGATGCAGGGGACACGGGTTCGTGCCCCGGTCCGGGAAGATCCCACGTGCCGCGGAGCGGCTGGGCCCGTGAGCCATGGCCGCCGAGCCTGCGCGTCCGGAGCCTGTGCTCCGCAACGGGAGAGGCCACGGCAG